AGTGTGTAGCTGCATTAGTGTTTTGTTTATATTATGTAAAGTATAACAATCTATTATTAAAAAAAACACCACAGTTTGTATTTTTTCTTTAAGGAGTAAAGATTTGCCTTCAAAATTAACTTGATATTTTCTTGGCTTTTGTTTAATACAATAGAAAATAAAGTATTACACTGAATACTGGCTGTGTAGTTGATTGATGATCTTACGTGTTAGAATAATTTAGAATAATTTTACAGTGCCAGTAACATCTGTTCATTTTAAACATCAGAGGGAAATTTGTACTCTGTTTCAAAAGTATACCAAGTGATATTACTTGTAATAGAATTAGCAGCCTTGGAATTGAATTGCTGCTCTTGCAGTAAATATTGGCTAGTGCAGAAGTCTTGTGGGACCTCTGTGGCTGACTCTATTTTGACCTAAGTAAGGCTAAACATTTTTGCTTTCTCCCAAGCTTTGTCTTTGAAAAACCTAAGACCAAAGTCAACATTTTCTACGTTAGTTTCCATTATAAAAATTAAAGACAATATAATCCACGTAATTCAGAATTTATATTTAGGTGAAGAACAAAAGTAAGTGAAGCTTCGCTGATGCATAAAGTTTAGAATTTGGAGGCAGAGGGCAGGTGTTTGACACATTTACCTACGTTACCATGTCATCTTTACTACCTTGAGGCATCAGCCAGTGTGGTGTTTCCTTTCTTAACCATCCCCCTACAATCTGCCTAGAATAAAGACAATATTCAATTTAAAGGATGTGACGGGTGTGAGGTGACTGGAAAGTTCTTCCAAAATGAGAGCTGATTACACACCTCCCATTCAGGAAAATGAAAAGTGCTGGAAATGGGGAGAGAATTTAGGGGAAAAATAGGTGGAAACATGTAGTGTTTCTGCTCACCACTTTTGCCACCAAACATATGCTGGGGTTTGGAGTTGTGGTAAGTTGGTACTGACAATTGGGTCTGTCCTTTTAGCAGTTCAGATAAGGATGAAAGTGGCCCTGATTTGCGCTGTCTGTGGTTGGCAGCTTATGTAGTTGGCATCTTTACTGCACTTGTGAGTTTGGGGGTTTTGGCAGTGACAACCCAGCTGCTTCCTTTGGAGCTGACAATGGCGTGAAAGGGAATTGAAAATCTCCTTTGGTCCCAGAGAGTCTCAAAAGTTAACTGCAAGAAAAAGCTTGTGTCAGTTACCGGAAGCCATGCTGCAGCGCTCTCTGTGTCAAGAGAATGTGGGCACTGTGTCCTCAAGCAAGCAGCTACAATTTGATGGGATCTCCTGTATTATGAAGCTGCATTCCAAACCCTCTGGACATCACCTCTATGCCATAAGAACAGATCAGGAGAACATGAACAGTTGTTTCACCTCAGGGTCAGCCCAGACAATTAGAAAGAAAATGTCAACTTTGCCAAGCACATGCTTGAATAGCAATTTTCCTCCCTGTGAATCTGGAAGCAGATTCGGTACAGGAGAATAAAACCAGAAATGGAATTTCCAATTGGATTGAAACTGACATGAAGTTTGGTTTTGACTGAGAAAAGGGTTCCTGAATTCCACCATTCCTATATAAAAGGTTTAGATTTGAATAACTGTGCAGAAGATAGGAAAGTTTTTAAAAGTTGTATTTGTATACCTTTGATATTTGTAGATTGTCCCATTACATGTAGTATAAAAGATTTCCGGGCCAGTTGTGGTGGCTATAATCCTAGCACTTGGGAAGTGGAGGCAGGAGGATTTCGTACAAGCACATACTGCTAGTAGTAGGAGCCCGGGAGTTTGAGGGTGCAGTGAGCTATGATGACACCACTGCACTCCAGCCTGGACCACAGCAAAACACTTGTCTCAGGAAAAAAAGATTTCTGGACCATGTGGGGGAAACCTGCTATTGAATCTTTCAAAGGTCACCTGGATTTATCATACTATCTTAGGGATAATTTAGCTTTTAAGAAAAAGTGTAAAAAGAGTCTTTACTTCTTGGGAGCTGATTAGGGTGACCAACTTTCTCACTTTGCCCACGACTGTGGTTTGCCAAGACAGAAGGGCTAAAAACTGAGAAAGTCGGGCAGATTGGAACGAATTGATCACCCTAGGATTTATTTTGAATGGAAGCACTTCAGGAATTTTCAAACTTTGAAATTCTGTATTTCTTGCAAATTTACATAATTCGTCATTTAATGTGTCTCAACTGGTATACCTGTAAATATTTTTCATGTTAATCTGTAAGAGTAAAATACTTGGTGGCTATTCATACTTTAGTAATTATCTCAATATCAAATGACTGAAATTTTTATAGCTCTAAAATAGGAAGCACAATAGGATTACGTAAACCTGTTGATCTAAATATTAATACAATTTATTTTTGGCCATTAGCAGTTGTTCTAAGCTTTTTGAAATTAACCTAGTATCCTGCCAATTGCCTCAAAATTTTATTGGTAAGTAAGATAATCAATATTCATCTTTCTTATGTAACCACAAAATCTGGAAAATACCAAATTGCAAAAAAAATATAATGGCATAACTTTTAGTATTAAAATGTGGGTTATAGGCCTGGCGTGGTGGTTCACACCTGTAATTCTAGCACTCTGGGAGGTGGAGGCGGGTGGATCATTTGAGCTCAGGAATTCGAGACCAGACTTAGCAAGAGCGAGACCCTGTCTCTACTAAAAATAAAAAAATTAGCCGGGCACGGTGGTGCATGCCTGTAGTCCCAGCTGCTCAGGAGGCTGAGGCAGGAGGATCGCTTGAGCTCAAGAGTTTGAGGTTGCTGTGAGCTAGGCTGTTGCCATACCACTTTAGCCCCAGGCAACAGAGTGAGACTCTGTCTCAAAAAAAAAAAATGTGGATTATAAAATTTGTGTAAGTTAAATCACAGTGTTCTGTAGAAAAAGCAACACATTTTGTTAAAAGACAAATAGTTGTTTAGGCCACAACTGAATAATATGAAAAAGGAAATAGTACCTAGTTCAATGGTCTTAGGCTTTTGAGGGATGAGAAGATTCTTAGAGAATGTGGTGAAAGCTAGAGACCAGTGGGCCACACTTGGCTGGATTTGAAGATGGAGGAAGGAGGCCATGAGCCAAGAAAAATCAGCCACTAGAAACTGGCACCTTCAGCAGATAACCAATAAGGAAACAGAGATCTCAATCCTACAACTACAAGGAACTGAATTCTATCAACAGCTCAAATGAAGGCCAGGTATGGTGGCTCACGCCTGTAATCCTAGCACTCTGGGAGGCCGAGGCGGGAGGATTGCTCAAGGTCAGGAGTTTGAGAACAACTCAAATGAGCAAGGAAAAAATCCTCCCCTAGAGCATCCATAAAGGAATGCAGACCTGTGCACCCCTCGATTTTAACCCAGTGAGACCCATGTCAGACTTCTGACCTAGAGAACTTTAAGATAATAAATTGTTAAGCCGCTAAGGTCGTGGTCATTTGTTACGACAGCAATAGAAAACTAATACAATACATAAATATCTAGTCTCATTATAAGGTATGGGGGGAAGTAGGGATGGGAAGGTGGAGGAGAAAAAAATTAACTTTACAAATATCAAAATTCTTAGAAAATCTTAAAAATACTTTGTGCATGTTTTAAGGCTATGAGAAAAGGAAAGAACCGTATCACTGTATTCAGAAGTTGGCCTGGCAAAGAAATTGGTTGGAAACCCATGGCAGCAACAGAAAGGAGGCAGTTAGCCAATGGGTAAGATGTTTGCTCACACAAGGCTATTGCTTTTTCTGCTCGCCCTCAGAGATCTTACCTTTGCCGATAACCTACTCTTTCTGAAGTCAAAAACTGAGGAAGTTAGGGGAAGAGGATTGGAAAGGAAAATTCTCACTTTACTGCTCATTAAATTCATTATGGTAAGATTGTTCTTGTTAAAGCTCCCATGGACAATCCCTGGAATTATCTTTTATAACAAGCTAAAGAGACCTTGTGTAAATAGGACTGTGTATAAACAAACCTATGGAATTGCCTATAGATTTTCTTTAAGAAAAAAAGGGCTGTTCAATAAAACCCTGAAGAACAAGCATGCCTTCATAAATAAATTATCAACTCTCAGCCTCAAGAGATACCCTATGGCAATTGAGGGTCACCTTTGCTAGGTTGCAGATAACATGAAGTAAAAGTCAAAGGTTTAATTAAGTATTTGAGCCTGAGTGCTTTTTTTATATCCTTAAGTCAGTATAAGCTCTGCTTTGTGAAAAAGACTATTTGTTGTTTCTTAGAAAATTAACTCCCTATTTTAGAGGACACATGACCATCCAACGTAAAGATTGTATTTCCTGGTCTCATTCGCAGCTAGGGGTAGCCATGTGATGAGACTTGAGCTAGAGGTACGAACGTTGATACCGTGTGTGCAACTTTGAAGAAAGGTCCTGTCCTTTCTGCTTGGCTGGAATTTAGACATAATGGCTTGGTCAACAATTGCTATTTTAGGCCATGTGGTGATTTTTAATGGAAACCATACAACGGTGAAACAATATATAAGAAGCTTGAATTTCTGACAACACGAAACACCTACCTACCTACCTACCTACCAGCCCTACCATCACTGAGTGCCAACATGCAACATCTGTCAGCCCTATATTGAGTACCTCTGCACTTCTTGAATATGAGGGAGAAATGCATTTCTATATTTACCTCTATTATTTTGGATTTCCTTGTTTCTTGCTGTTGAACCTAATCCTATTTTAATATACTGCCAATTCCCTTATTCCAGTTACTAGCACAGATAACTAGGAATTGACTATAAACTTTATTTTATCTACTCTAAATAGAACATTTAATACTTTTTATTGGAGGAGGATTGAAAAAACGATGTTTAAAGCCATATTTGTTTCTAGAATTAAACACTGATGATGGTTGTGCCATATACTAAATATCACTGAATTATACACTTTTTAAAGTGTGAATTTTATGGTGTGTGAATTATAGCTCAATAAAGCTGTTATTTTAAAAATATGTTACAATAAATCATTCAATGAAAGTATTAAAATGCTTAAATGTTTTAATTAAATAAGCTTTCAATTTAATATAAACTACCATTTCAGTGGGATATGAGAAGTATTTATTAAACGAATTTCTGAAATATAAAACTTTAATCGAATGCTTTAACTTGTGACTATTCTGATATCCCCCTTTAAATTTGCTTCTATCTTATTATTATTCATTTCCAGATTCAGATTTTGCATTACTTTGGAGAGCGTTTTATCATCTTTTTTATCTCCTGAAGCAGCTCCTTTGTTCACAGCTTCTTCTGCTACAATAAAAAACTGTTCAGTTGGTTGAAGAATGCTTACTCCATAGCCGTTGTTGTTGTAAATATGATTATTAGTCATCTTCAATTTGGGAGCTGGAAGAACCTGTTAAATTATTTGAGGAAATTAGTTTTTCAATAATTTTTATAAAAAGAAAATATGAAGTAATGAACATATAAAATTACTCTAGAACTTATTCTTGGGTTAAAGTGTTCTTTTTAAAACAATTGAGACTCTCAGTTTTGAACATATACTATTTTCTGGACAGTGATTAATGTAATATTAACTACAAAGATATTTAATGAGAAAATATTAAATGAAGTTTTCAATTTATTTTTATCAGTTATTGATAAAAATAACTAATTCTAGATGGGGATACAGCAATAGCTCATGCAGTTGACCTTATATAATGTAACAAGATAAACATGAAAATAAATAATTTCAAATAATAATATGTGATGTGGAGAAAATAAAATAGGGCAATGTGATAGCATGACTGGGTGGGGAGGGGTTACCATTTAACTAGAGTGTTCTTTATAGTAACAGTTTCTTTGAAGAGGGACAATTACATTCAGATATAAATAATGAGGTAGCAGCCACTTTAAGGTCTACAGAAAGAGTGTTTCAGGTAAAGGTAACAAGAGCCACACAAGGTTAATAATTTCTGGGAACACAAAGAAAGCCAGTGTGGCTTGAACATAATGCATGAGAGGAGGAGTGGAAGGAGATGAGGGTGGAGAAGGCAGGGGCCAGATCTTGTCAGATTTTTATGAACCATGCTCATTAAACTTTAATGTATATATAAATCACCTGAGGATCTTGCTAAAAATCAGATTCTGCTCACTAGGTCTGAGGTAAGGCTTGAGATTCTGCATTTCTAACAAGCTGCCAGGTGATGCCAATGCTGCTGGTCCGTAGCTCACACTGAGTAGCAGGAATGTGATTCTTAAAGTGTGAGTTCAACCAGCAGTATCAGCATCACCTGGGAACCTACTGGAACAAACCCTCCGGCTTTACCCCCGACCTACTGAATCAGAAATTGGGTGGGCCTCTGCAAGAGTGATTCTGACGCATGCTAATATTTGAGAACCACTGAAAAATTGAGAAATACTTAAGAACAGAAAAAAATGGTTTAAGAACAATCAAATATTTCAAAATTGCCCCCATTTGTACCTTTTTTCCAACCAATTATCTGACTTTGTGTCCAAAATCATGCTGGGTGGGGAACCTACTAGTAGTATATAATTCCTGCCCTCAAGTAATTTATAATCTATTTGAGGAGACAAAATGTACATTCATAAAACAAAGAATTAGAATGTAGAGTTCTAGGAAGAAACTTCATAAACATAAAACTTCTTTAACTACACAAGCCTAGAGAGGGACCTAGAAAGACAGGATTCACAGAAGCAGAAAGGAATGGGAAGACATTGCACCTACACATTATTGCTATTAATGTTTTAATTGGTTAGCTTAAATCATTTTACACAACTTTGAAAGTAAGAAAAACTCTTTCCTAATATATTATTATTCTCTTAATTTGCTTTACTTTCCAAAATATATTACAGATCTGATCAATGTAAAATCTAAAATATTTTTATAAGAGCAAATCCTATCCACTTTCTCAAATTTAAAGTTATTTGCTAAGAGTTTAAGTTGAAATTATTGAATAATTATTAAATTATTAGGCTAAACTTGTTTCCCATCAGCCATCATTTAACTATATTTTATTACTTGTACTATTCTTTTCCAAATCAATAACATTTAAACTATATTTTAAGACTAAAACTAATATTTTAACACTTATATAAGAATTACTTACAATTCTTATAATAATTCTACATTAAGAAATAAGGGACTACCTTCATATTAACTCCACCTAAGGTGCTTTTTGAACTGTCACTAGTTCTCAGGTTATTACAGTGATGAATTTCATTTCTTTCCAAAATGGCTATGCTCCCAGGATACAGTTCAACACCAGCACCCTGTAAATTAAAGGCAAATAAAGTTGTTTACAAAACACATACATAAATCCCTCTCCAAAATTTTCTTTCTTTTCTTTTTAGAGACATGGTCTTCCCCTGTCTCCGTCACTCAGGCTAGAGTGCAGTGGCGCGATCATAACTCACCACATCCTCAAACTCCTGGGCTCCAGAGATCCTCCTGCCTCAGCCTCACAAGCAGTTAGGACTACAGGTGTGCACAACCATGCCTGGTTAATTTTTTTATTTTTTGCAGAGACGGGGGTCTCACTTTGTTACCCAGGCTGGTCTTAACTCCTGGTCTCCTCCTGCCTCAGCCTCCCAAAGTGCTGGATTACAGGTGTGAGCCACTGTGCCTAGCCTCAAATTTTCTTTAAACTTGAAAATTGTAATTCTATCTATGTTAGCAAGCTAAATGCTAAGTTACATGAAAATACATGATAATGCATGCCACAATTTATTGCAGAGATAATGTTTAAAAACGGTGAAAACAAAATATCTTTTAGAGAATCATTAGGCCTAGAAAGAAGGTTAAGGTCATACAGTCTTACTCTTTCACCCAAGTGAATTCTTTAGAATAGAGTCCAAAACCACTTTAGGCAACTGTTTCAATAGTCATAAAAATTTATATCTGCTGTAAATCTCTCATGAGGCTGCTAAAGTATATTTCCTCATTTTAGTGGAAATTAAGAAAACATCATTCCTTAAAAGGATGCTCTTGTTTTTCTACTTCCTTTAATCCTTTCTCTCATCCAACTCGTCATTCCTTCCACTGAAGGACTTGCGATTGTTGGAAGACTCAAGTTTTTTTCTATGACCTGATTATTTAGAAGCTGTCAGAATGAATCACAATACCTAACAGTAATGTCAATAGCTTATAAATACTTACTTCTCTTTAAATAAACCATCAAATAACTGACTCACGATTGGTTTTATAGCCACTGATTTCCAGATTCTTTAAAAACCACATTTAAAGCTAATAATTCCTTACTTTGCACTTGGGCAGTTTACTTTTCCTAAGTGTACTATGACTCTCTCCTACTTGTCCTCATTTTGTTGAGTTCTACCAGTTTCAAAGTTTAATTATAATTCCATTCAAAGATGAAGAAACTGTTACCCTTCGTTTTTATATAAGATCACTCAACCCAAAGGAAAAGAAATCATTTTATCAAAAAGACACCTGCCCTCGATTGTTTATCACGGTACAATTCACGATTGCAAAAATATGGAATCAACCTAAACGCTCATCAAAGCATTGAGTGGATAAAGAAAATGTGCCATACATATATAGACACACCATGGAGTACTACTCAGTCATAAAAAGGAATGAAACGATGTCATTTGCAGTGACTTGGATTGAACTGGAGACCATTATCCTCAGTGAAGTAACTCAGGAATGGAAAAACAAACACATGTTCTCAGTAAGTGGGGGCCAAACAATGGGCACACATGGGCACAAAAAGATGTAAAGGATGTTGGAAACTAAGAAGGGGGGAGGTTGGGAGGGGAGTGAAGGCTAAAAACTTACCTATTGGATACAACGAGCACTGTCCTGGGGTCGGCACACTGAAAGCCCTGACTTCAGCATTATAGAGTGTATCCATGTAACAAAAACCTTTGTACCCCTTCATTTTTGAAATAGTAATAATTTTAAAAAACAGAAAAGATCACTCAAAGCTGTTGTCTATAGTCATACAAAGCCATACTTTTTATAGAATGAAATACCTGGGCACCAGTTATTTCACTGTCCGTAATTGTCAAAGCGGCCCCCGTAAGAACACACACTCCTGTTCCTTCACATTTTAATACGCAGTTTTCTAGAGTCATGTGGCCAGATTCCACCACCACGATTCCGTCAACCGTCCCTTGTTGTATCAGAGACAGATGCATTAGTTTCACGTTGGCAGCTTTGGACACCACAAAACTGTCATGAGAAGGTTCAGAAGTGATCAAAATTTCCTCTCTCTTTCCAACGCCTGATCCATAGAGATAAAAATACATAATTAAATCAGTAATCCCAAATTTTAAAGGACTTTAGTCATTCAATAATACTTGCTATTGCTAAAT